GGGGGCGTGCTGCGTCGTGAAGCAAGATCAGTGGGTCTCACTGATCCCTTTAACCCAAACTGACCGATCCCACAAAGCTGGCTCACTTTAACCAGTTTAGACCACTAAACCTGGCGCTTCACAGAAGTTTCGCTCTAGAGGATTACATCAAAACTTGCAAACGATTCGAAATAATGAGCACAAAGAAACATGTTTACACACAGGTAGACTCACTTAGCTTTACCTGCTATCTATATCAGACATTTAAGATATTTTTGTAGCACAACTTACTCTTTTAATTGGTATTCTTTTATTATTATTTTAACAGTAGAGAGGTTCATCATCAGTGTCTAAAGCCCAGCAGATTCCCACAGTGCTTCTCACTGAATGTTACTTTTTGCTTCTGCGCTGACAAAATGTCCTCCGAGATCTAAAGTTGTATCTCATAATTATCAGATGGGCTTTGTGTTACGCCTCTTTAATGTAAACAAACTCCGACACACTTTGGTTAATTGTGAGTCAACAGAGCCACGAGCCAGCTTGGTGAGACCGGTTTCCAGGATCACCGGTGATGTGAAGCCAGAAAACCCCAAAGAAAGCCAGAATGAGGTGAACTTGCTTCTTGATTCAGGCCCCTGTTGTGTTAGTTCCTGTGGCCCCTTTAGGCTCCACACACACACACACACACTATGGTATAAACCTTCAATGACCGATTCCCTCCCTCCCCTCCCCTCCTCTTCTTCTTTTTTTGTTTTTTTTTGTTTTTTTTTGTTTTTTTGTTCCTGCCGACAGTGTGTTTATTCTGACGCCTCGATAGCTTTAATACTTCTCTTTCTTTTTCTGTTGCCTGCCTGGCTCAGCGACATGTACACACTCCCTCGGCCCTTACTGTAAACGCTGTCTGAGCACGGAAAATGTGTCTCAAAAAAAAAAAACTGGATTCCTGCCGCCTTATGTGCCCTGCAGTAACCCCCCCCCCCCCTCCTGCCCTCACTTCTTCCCCCGTCCCACCCTCATTTTTCTCTAGGTGTGCCTCCGTCAACAGAACTTCAGGCCGTGATTACTGAGAATGAACTTTGCAACTTTGTGTGAGTGACGTTTGTGCGTCTGCGAGTGTGTTTGTCAGCGATAGGAGAGATTTTAAAGAACAACCTTCCTGTCCTCTTCTCTGTGCATCGATGTGGGAACGTTTGAGTCCTAGTTCATGAACTCTGGCCTTTGACCGGGCGCTCATTCAGTCCCTTGTGGTGGTTGAGAAGGGGAGGTTACGTGGGGACTCGAGAGAAGCCCTACTGTCTACCCACAGTCGATGTTTTATTTATGGACCTCTGCACTTTTGGCTGTGATGACTTCAGTACTTAAGTAGTTACCTGAACTGTATTTTTAAGGATTTTATACAATATTTACATGCAATATGATATGAATTTATTTTTTTTGATTTTATTTTTTTTTTGCCAACCTTTTGTTTGTTTCTTATTTAATTGTCTTTATTTTGGCATGATTTGTCACTATTATTCACAAAACAAACATGCCCGTTGGATCTATTTTTTGGTGTGAAACGTTATGAGGGATGTTCCCTTCATGTTTTGTGTGTCATTATTCTGATGACGGCTGAACACCAAGAAGCAGGTGTAGGAAAATGTTTGCTGGATGAGCTAAACCTCAAAATGAGGATAAAAGGAGTCCAACACTTTGGATCAGGGGACTGAACTCCTGAGCTAGAACTGTTTATGTTCCGTGTCATGTCCAGTCATGATTTGAGTGTTTGTTTTCTACTCATTCATAGAAGTCTATTCCCAAACAAAACCGGTCACATAATTTAGTTATGTTATGATAACTTGAGGCTGAAGAAATGCATCATAGGAAACAATAGAGTTGGAGCTGTTTTCAGCGCTGCTGGTACCGGAAGTTAAAATCCCATTCATTCTTTCCCTACAGACAGTGTTGCGTTACTCACAGTTGGAGCACTTTTACTGCTTGGATCAACATGAAACTCTCCCGATTCAATCATTGAGTCCGAATGATTTAAAAACGCGTTAGAAAAGATAGTTGGTTAACTACGACTCCCAAGGAGCATTGCGGCCAGAAACATCAAATCAGTGGGCTTCAAATTCTATCACAAGAGCCGCTAAACGCGGACAGAAGCTAATAAAGCTGTTGAGAAAGCTGATAGTATAATATCTTAAATCAGTTTCCTTTTCATTTTTTTGGGTCACTTTTGGATGAATTCCGCTGCGTTCAGTTAAAATGAAAATTTGCCACCTTTTTAACGTGGATCTCCAATCAGTGTTGATGGTAAATGTAGTCCGTTAAAGACATAAATTCCCCAGTTTGTGCTATATTGACCCAGAATGCCGATCTCTCTCCTGATGTGGTGCCGTGCCGGCTGTGCCTACATGTACCAGTATGCATTGTGCTTCAGCTACAGCTGATGACTACACAAAATAAACTCTCAAAACTGTTCATGAAGACAATATTCTACTGAAAAATACAACCGTACGCCTTCTGAATCCAAGTGTCTCTCTTTCTCTAAACTAAGACGGGCTTCATTTTCTTTTAACTCATCGTAAAACGCACTCCATTCAAACTGGATAGAAACAAATGAAAACTTTCCAGATCCATGAGTTAGTCCTTCCACTGTTCCAACAATCAACGCTGGTTTGGTCGAAATAAATCCTCAATTCACAGAGTACGATGTGAGAATATGCCGGTTCTATAGCTGTGCCCCCCCCCCCTGCTGTCTCGATGCAGCGGCTTGTTACTCCGTCTTCCCGAAGCAAAAAATAATAATTCTCATTCATAATGTCCTCTGCACTCAAAATTTGGGGATGCTATTTTTGCTGTTGGAAACATAAAACAATTGAAAAGAACAAGGACATATTTTTGAGTGGCGTTGCGCCCCACGGCTACTAAAGCTGGAGTAGCACGCTGTCGTTTTTCTTTCCCTCCAACGACGTCACTGCCACGTCACTGGATGCAGGAAGGAGAGATTTTTCAGAGAGCATTGGCGAGAGCTGCAGGCGTTTCTTCCTCCGTTGTGCCTCTATGTGGCTCCTCCATTGCAACGACTGCTGAGGCTCGTGGGTATCGTAGTACTTGGAGCCGCCTGCCAACCAAAATGACGGATAAAACACGATTTCTCAGAAATTTAAGTTTGAAATAATTGAAACTGGTGGTCCTAATGTAAACCACTATAAGAGTTACATTTTCCTTAGAGCCCTTTGTTTCTGTGTTGAGCAACCATTGAAGACATTAATGAAAGAAAGAAAAAAGTGCAAATGGGAATCAAGATTGCAGAGAAACACTTCCGGTCCCTTTCCCTTTGCAGGTCTGTTGGAGTGAAACATTTCAGCTGAGACTATATTATATATATAAAACATGTATAATACAGCAAAGGTAGAATATCTACTGTGTGGATCTTTAGAGGATGAGGAACAATATGGAGCAAATGGTTGCAAATATGTGGAGCGGGGTGGGAGGGGGGCATGTGCAGACGGGATGTTTCCTGTGTCAGTGGTCGTCATAATGTGTCTGTGACAAGGGTACAGGGATGCCTGTATTTATAAGGTTTGATTTCTTGTGGGTAGGGGGGGGGGGGATGTCTGAAATGTGTTCCTTATATGTGGTCCAAGAAGAACAAACTGGATGTGCAGAACAATTTGGTATTTTTTTTGAAAATAAAAACTTGGCATTACAATGCCACCATGTGGCCATATGATGCAAGTTGTTAACGAGGACAAAACATTGTTATTTTAATGTTATTTTTAATTTTTAAATCATATTATTAATAAAGTCATTAAGTACTGTTGTCCCCGCGTGTGTCCGATCATCATTGACCGTTGTGCGACCCGGTCATGGGTGTGCGTGTGTGCAGGGTTCACGTAAAGTTCACGTGATGGTTCAATGCAGTCTGCGGGGTTAAAAGGACACGCAGCGGGCCGGCCAGTAATGCTCACGAGGCATTGACCATCTATCGAGGGAACGTCATTATAGGAGGGACATTTATTGGCGAAGGCTGATCAATAAATTGTACTCTGACGCAGATCCGCATTGAGGAAATCTAATGTGGGTTTGTGCCATACATTTATGTCTCCGGGTGTGAGACACCATTGTGGGCAATGTTACAAATGTATTACCAAGACTTCTGTATGGAAATACTGGATATTTATATGATCTTTCATGTTTTGATGACATACATTTTTCAGGTTATTAAATTGCAGGATAAACCAAGAAACGGTCAGATTCTCATTAAACTTTGCATGAATTTGGTTAACCGATAAGCCAATCAAGAAAATGAATTGACAACTTTTTTAATGTATTGTGTTATAAAATATAATGTGCATTTTTTTTAAAACAATTTTCTGGCATTTTATTGGCAAAAAAATCTATTCTTTGAAAAAGTGATCAACTGATTTATTGATAAAGAATATAATCTTAAATTGCGATATAACTTTACACACAGTGATATATGATTTGACTGAAATAACCCAGTCATAAGTTTACCCTTTATTTTTACCATTTTGGTGAAATTTTAATTTCACAACAAATGAACTGAGAAATGTGAATTTTCACTTTATTGGAAATGACGTGAACCTAAATAATCTGGAATTCTATTTGAGCTTCTGCAGCAAACGGTGTTCTTGTTGTTACTTAACACACCTGCCTTTGATGAAGCACTAATTAAGAGTCCTGTTGGGATCTTTCACTGCAGACATTTCTACTTGTAATAACAGGAGAAACAGGTGTTACTAAAACCATTAATGAGGGCTCCAGCACAGGAAGTTTGAACGTTCAAGCTGTTTGCTGGGAAGATCTGAGGTCTCTTCATACTTTCAGCTTGTTGGTGAACAACTCAAAGACCCTCAGCAGCTGTGATGGGAGGTAAGTAACGAGCTGTCAAAAAAGTCTTGCAGAAGCATTTCTGAAGTTGTGTTGACTGGGTTTGTTTGAAGGCTGTGGGTTTGTAGTAGTGTTGTATTGGACTAATAACCTCATTGTTTTTATAGTGTAACGTAATCAAATATACTACAACGGTACTGTGAAACTTGAGGATTGAGGCAACACAATTGCTTCACAGTTGAAGTCAGTATTTATTGCCGAGTGTCCCGTTGCATTGTGCAGGGGCAGTAATGACAGCAACTACTCACTGTGCTTAAAGTAACATTTTTGAAGTACTTGCACTTTACTTGAGTATTTCCATTTGATGTCACTTAATACTTTTACTCCAATGTATTTTAATAGGAATTATTGTACTTTTTACTTAACTATATTTATTGAGAATTGTACTTATTTTTCAGATAAAAAATGCAAAATATAATCAACTCATAAATAGTTTTATTATAGATTAATACAAAACCTTATTGCTCCCTGGGAAGAAATTCACAAGCTACCTGTCAATATGTAAATAAATCAGCCCCACTTTTACCAGCTGATATGCACATTAATGCATCAATTATTATAATTCAATAATATACAATCTTTTGAAATGGGACTCATTCTGCAAAACGAGTACTTTTAACATTTGCTATATTAAGTACATTTTGAATGCTTTGACTTTTTATGTGTAACAGTATTTACACATAAAAAGTCAAAGCATTGCTACTTTTACTTTAGTAAACGATCAGATTGATCTAGATACTTTACATTCAACAGGCCTCACACAGAATAACAACAGAGTTCACATTAGCTTATTCAACTTTTATTCCGTAACTGATCAAACACCCAACATTCACGTACTCCATGCATATCTCCACATTTCAACCCTGATATTGTCAACACCAACAACAGCTCTTTCAGGTCAGGTAGATCCAGACACACTGAATCACCGTCATTTCCTGATTTAACTTTATACACGCGTGTAAAAATTGCTCGGTTTACCCTGAACTTCAGTTACTTTGAGCAAACCATAACCGCCAAACCCACCTTCACTGTGAACTGCTAAGAGTACTACGATACCTACGATATGCTTATTATATACATAATTACTTCATATACAAGACCAGCTCTTTGGAGTACAAACTCTTATACTTCCTTTTTAAAACTTTTTCTTTGAAGATGTGTGAAACGTCTTCAAGGAGGCTAAAGACATGTAGTCTCCGGATCAAAACCTCAAACATTTGTACATTTATGTGAACAAGGGATGGCAACAGACCAGGTAATATACTTGCCATGAAGCTACATATAATTTAACTTTTGTACATTCCAAGCAAGTCTTTTTTTCTTAGTTTGAGTGCAATAAAATTATGCATGAGATTTCTGGGCTGCTGAAAAAACCAACTGTAAAAAAAAAAAAAAGCAAGATGATATAGGCAAAACATATTTACAATATTCCACAAAAATCACAGAAGGACTGTTGGAAAACATTTCAACAGGACCAGGCAGTTGTGTCTGACTTTACAATTACAAAAGGCAATAGATATGGCTTCAATGACGTGTTTTACAGCATGAAAAACTAGATGTGGATGCTAAGTTATGAGATAGATTTCAATACCTTTCTAACTGCAACTACCGCTGTGGAAAACGTTGGCTTTATTTGATAACATGTACAAAATAAATGATTCTTTTCTTTGAAACCCAGCTGACAAAGACAAGAACAAAAAAGACCAAATACATGTAAAATGCCAGTAAACATTTGCATATGATTAAGTTAAGAAACGGAGTCTTTCATAGAAATGCTCTTCGTTTGAAGGTCATTTAGCCCATGTAAACTTTGGCAAACCCAAAATAAATTAAGAAAAACATGTTAAGACAAATTCTTTAAAAACATCCTAAACTTTTTTTGGATTCTGTCTCTTATCTCAAGTAATACAGTAAAATAAACCCAAGAAATGTCCTTACGTACAGCTGCTGCTACTTCATGTATCGGATATTACTGTTCATCCCAGTAATCCAAATAGTCAACTTCAACTTATTGAACACGTCTTCAAAATCATAAAGCTATTTTTACAATGGCTTCTTATTTTCAGCACAACACCTACAAATGTAAACAAAGACAAATGACCAAAATTTAAGGCAATCAAAACATTTTTACAAAAGAAAAATGGCTGGATTAATGAGGTGAGGTGTGTCTGCATGTTGGCTCAGACGGCCTGGATCTCCCTGCAGGTGGAGGAGCAGCTCTATTTGGGAGGCAGCGGGTTTTCGGGGGTCGTTGGAGTTGCCAGCTCCTTATAAAAGTTCTCAATCTGCTCCTTGTACATCTTCACCACCACCGGCCTCTTCAGCTTCATGGTAGGGCCTGTGGAACAAGTAAGGAATTCATATTGTTAAACACTTAAAACTAATCATATATCACTTCCTAAAACTATAGTTTAAACTGCACACATGATTTAGTCTAAACCTAGTTGCTTTGTCCCGTGGATGTCATCTACACTCCACTACAGGTCGTTGTTTCTGAGGTTTAACTTGAACCTGACTGCCGACTCGGTCAAAGGTTTGAGTCCAGATTATTATGATATGCCTCATGGTCAGTTTGTCAGTATTGTAAGTCACTCTAATTTAAGATGATGCATTTGACTCTTAATAATGTGGTAGTTTTAGGAAGAAAAAAAAAAATCAAAGTTCTGCTTAAGACAATTTGGTTTATGATTTTTTTACATTTTTCTGCAACTAACGTTTATTAATTTTAATTACTGATTAATCAGACAATTATTTGTTGATTTTTAATAGTTTTCTCGATACAGTAAAGTCAGAAAACAGTGAAAATGCCCATATTAATGTGTTAAAAAGAGTATTTGTTCTCAACAACAGGCTCCATATAAAATGACAAAGTCTGTGACATGAAGAAAAGACGAGTGAGAGTAAGTTTGGTCTTTTTGCTTGAAAAATGACAATTAGAAAATGAATAGTTAACTATTTTGATAATTGATTGTCGATCAACTAATTGTTGATCTAATTGTTTCTACTAGTTTTACCACCCCAGGCATCTATAAATTATTCAAAAGAAACAGTCTGAAGAGGAAAAAATGACTTTTTGATTTAACAACCCATAGAGCCATGCACCATGTGAGACTTTGTATTAATCTAAAAAAGGTTGGAGACTACCGAGTTAGAAGAAGCCCTTAAGTGGTTCAGGAAGGTCATTTGAAGCCTTGGACTCTCCATTGTGAATACCACACACTGCAGGTTTAACACAATTACAGAGTCAATTGTCCTCTTCCTGCAAAATAAAGATCCCCTATAGTCAGCACACCCTGCGTTCACATCCCACTCACCAAGCTCTCCTCCTGGAAGGGAGAAATCACGATCCAGGATGATCCACTTCTGAATGCGCTGAGCGTTGGAGTTCGCCTCCTTGTTGACTCGGTTGATTCCCTCCTGAACGGCGGCGTGGATCAGTCGGTCTTGGCCGCCTGCGATCTCAGAGACTCGTGTGGCGTTGCTGCCCAGCTTCCTGCAGAGCTCAATAGCTTCCGGTGTCAGCTCGTCCTCTGGTTCTCCTGACTCTGCATTTAGCTGGCACTGGAGAGAAGAACATTTGAAAAGTTGAATTATTTCACCTATTTTTATTTTTATGTATATATATATATATATATTCTTGTCCATGCAACTCAAAGCATTAATATATCAAAAATTTGGAATTTGGGTCTGTTTTCCTTAAAGCCCTCTAGATGGCAGCATCTGGAAAGAAACGTCTGAAAAGCAAACGCTTCACTTTTTTATGCTGCTCCTTTTTCATCAGTTAAAAACAAGATATATATATATATATATATATGATATATATTGTCTCTTTCTGAGATTAGATACAAAGTATGATAGGATGTTTACAAAGCTCAGATAAAGAATGGCTGACAAGTTATATCTGCAGTCTCCATCTGATCTCCTTCGCTCTGTTCAACAGCCTGTTACATCCTGTTACATCCTGTGTTATCTTCACGACTACAGTTTCCCTTCTCGTTCCGGTGCCCTGCTGTCCCCTTCTTCGACTGTGATTAAAATGCACAAACAGAACCGTGCTTGCTAGAAGGTTACACCAGGGGCCACATTAATAAACGATACATATGCACAAAAAAACATGCATACGCCATTTCCCTCACAAACTGGTATTTATAAAAGAAGTAAGATGTGCACATCCAAACATACTTTAGACCAGATTTACAAACAGTTTACTAAAACATAGCTGAGGGTGAAACATGGTGGACATGAAATATACGGTGAGATATGTCAACTTATAGTACAACATTTTTTAGATTGTTTGGAAATTACCAACACAATTAATGAAAATGGCAGACAACAGTGTTCTGTAAAATGTCAAAGGTGCCTTTATAAACTTAATTTAAAATGATAAGTAATTAATTAAATCTTTATTAACATTTGAGCTGTGATTTCCCCGTCAATGATCTTTACATTTTATCCTCAGTTGTGAAGCTCTTTTGTAAAGATTGATTCTGTTTCAATTTGAGCTCTATCAATTATTAATTGATTATCCTTCTTAATAAATGATATCACAGCGAAATCAGCTTCAATGCTTGCTTCCGTATCTCCTTCAGGATAAAGTGCAGTGGACCATCCTTTACAAAAATAAAGGAGATAATGCCGTCCCCCATTCCGTGCGGCAGCTACATTTAAAGCGACGCACCATTCGGCCATCAATAACATCGCTGTTTAATTGTACTTTAGGAGGTGTGACTCTATTTTGGACAGGAATCAAATTTACAGCATCAAATTAGTCTCTGTTCTCTTTCTATGCGTTATAAAGTTGCGTAAAATAATATACCAGTGTAAGAGCAGTTGGTTTCTCTGCGGCTGTCTTTTCCTAAGTCCTTGTGAGTTTTCCTTCACATCTTTCCGTGACCTCATGTTTTCCATCAAGGTAAAGGAAAAGACATAGGACAATATTGTTTTGACTATTCGACCGCAGCCCCGGTTTCTGAGACTCACCTTAATGGTGAGCAGCATAGATAGAAACTTCCTCTTGTCTCCGATCAGCATGGCGTTACTAATCAGCGGCACGGCCTCCTTCACAGCATCCTCGATAGGAATGGGAGGGATGTTCTCTCCTCCTGCGGTGATGATCAGCTCTAAAAATCACAGTTAAGTAACATACTTTATTGATCACAGATAAAGAAATATTCCTAGGCTTAGAGATTGTATCTCCTGTAACAGGACACCAAGTCCATCCTCTAAAAAGAATATAGAATAAGTACCTTTAATTCTTCCGGTGATGAAGAGGAATCCGTTCTGGTCGTGTTTGCCCAGGTCACCGGAGTGCAGCCAACCCTCTGCATCGAGAGCCTCATCCGTCTTGTCGGGCATGTTGAGGTAACCCATGAAGACGTGACGGCCCCAGAAGCAGATCTCACCGTTTCCCTCCTCGTCTGGGTTGTGCAGCTTCGTCTTGCACCCTGGGATCTCTTTACCACAACTGCAGGACAAAACAACATTTTCATAATTCACCACGTGCGTTTGAGTTGGCTCTGATTTGTCAGTGTAAAGGAAATTCTGCGTGAAATCAAATTGGAAGTCAACAAAGAAAATGTACCTGGTGAGCTTGAAGGCCTCAGGGATGGAGATTGTGTGAGGTCCGGTGCTCTCGCTCATGCCGTACAGCTCGTACAGAGGGATGTCTAGGCTGAGGAAGAACTCCAGGGTGTCTTTGGTTATGGGAGCGGCACCGGTGTAGCACTTGTTGCAGCGGTCCAGGCCCAGAGCCTTGCGCACCTTTTTGAACACGAGCTTTTTGGCTACTTGATAGCTGAGCGGCGTGCGGCCAGCTGCTCCGCTTCTGAGGAAAGACACAAAACAGCAAGTGTAAGAGTTTTGAGCCACGCCAGCAGCTTGGAATCTAGGAATGTCAACGTCAGCCAGTCTGTTGCTTCACACTGGAATATCTCAACAGCTATTGGATGGATTACCATGAAATGCTGTACAGACATTCATGATATCCAGACAATGAATCCTGCCGGCTTTGGTGATCCTCTGACTTTTCCTCTAGTGCCGCAACGAGGTGAACATTTGTGATTGTAAATAAAAGATAACAACTATTAGATGGATGCCATACTATTTGGTACAGACATGTTGCCCTCAGGATGAATTGTAATCACTTTGATCCTTTCAGCTCTCCTCTAGCATTTAGCTCAAAGCACAACTTCACAGAGCTGTAATGACTCAAGGCACCACAAATCCAGCATCCAACAGATAATAAATGAGACACAATGTCATCAAAACATTTAAAAAATAGCAGTTTGGTAAACAAGAGAGAACCCGAGGATGGAAACAGGAACGAGGAGTGATTTAAGCATGTCTAAATAAAGCTGTAGTTTTATAACACGTACGTACTGATTCATTTTGGTCAGATTAGTCTGCAGGCCAACATCTTTGGCCCAGGCAGCCAGTTTCCTGCGCACAGTTGAAGACTTGGCCCCGACAGACTTCATCTTCTCCTGCATCTTCTCCCAGACACGTGGGACGCCCATGAAGGCCGTGGGACGCACTTCCTTCAACGTGTTTACCAGAGAGCCCTGATTTAGAGAAGAAAGCAGAGTTTTAAACACAAATGGTACATGCAGTTTACAGCGCTCATGGAGAGGAAATAAGCAGAAAGGGTTAAATCTGCCACCATAATGTTCTTGGAAACTATTGCATGAAAAATACATTAGCTTTTCATATCTGCTGTATCACACTCATATGTCCACCCTCAGGCTATGCTGATGAATGTGTAGGGGCGGTGATGGTGAAATGAGAGAAGCCTTAAGAAACGAAGAGCCCTGAGAGGCTGCAGCGTAGCATGCCAGACGGATACAATCTTGCCATGAAAGGACACGTTATGGAGAGGTGCACATGATTAGTGTTCAAAGATATAATGACCATCCACTAAATCGATCCTTTCTGTTTTCATGCTCCTAAACTATGAAATACACTCCATCCTGATCTTAGAGCGGCAAACTAAAACTACGTTTTGAATCTTTTTACTCTGGCTTCTTATTTGATATTATCATAATTTATAAGAACTGCGGGTTTTTTTCTGTTTATCCCTGTAAATCTTTTGTTCTTAATATTTTAAGATTATTGTTTGGTTTGGTAAACATTTCATTGGCTGTTTTTGCTTGAGTTCTGTACTAAGCATTTGTAATCCTCTTTTTGTAAAGCAATTTGGGCTTTGTCTCTGCATGAAAGGAGCTATACAAATCAATATTAATATTGCAAATTCTATATAAATCAAGACAAACTGCATGAATGTTAATGTCAGCTGCTGATGATTTCAAATCGCCTGTTTTTCCGTCTATGAAAATGTTGTTCAATATTTGAATTTTGTGTACTAGACACCACTGTTGTATCTCACCTTCAGTGCATCTGGCTGGGCAAAGTGGGTCGCCCCTCCGACCCTCATGGTGACCCAGATGTCTACCATCTGAGCAGCGACGTGGCTGAGCGGCAGGTAGCTGACCACCAACTCCTGACTGTGGGTGGCGTCTGTCAGACCCACATGGCGGCAGGTGGAAAGCGCGGTCCATGTTATCTGAGGGCGAGGAGAGAGCAATACATTTAATGAGGTATCTTTATTGTTTTTATATATGGGAGGTCACACATAGACATGCTATTGACAAGATGAAGAGAATTACACAAAAACAATGGTGAAAGTTTATGACCAGTGTTTTATACCTCATATAAGTGAACTTTGACAAGAATAAAGTACATGAAGTTTTTGTTTGTTTGAGACAGCCAGGTGCCATGTTAATGAGTCTATGGTTTAACAGGACTACAGCCATGGGTGGAAGAAGTAGTCCGATCTTTTAAAGAAGCAATACCACAGTGTAAAAATAATCTGTTTTAAGTAAAGGTCCTGCGTTCAAAATCTTAAGTAAAAGTACATGTGTACTTACATCAAAATACAACTTGAGATGCATTGATGTGTAAGCATCACTAATGTTGCAACTGGTAAAAGGTGGAGCTAATTTCAACTACTTTCTATACTGCTGGGCAGCTTAATCTATAATAATACATCCTTTTTTTAAATGTATTAATAACCTGAGTCTGCAAGGTAACTAAAGTTATCAAAGTATGTAAATATATATAGACGTTATCTGTACTTAAGTATAGTACTTGATTGTACATGGGGTTACATTCCATCACATCGTCTGTCCACATTAATTGTCCCCAACAAACAATATTAAAAAGGCTGAGACATTTAATTTAAATGACTCAGCCTTTTTAGTATTGTTAGTATTGTTTGTTTATTGTTGTTTAGGTTTCTATTCAGGAATTTAAATCATTTAAATTCCTTGAGTTGCTGAACCCTACCTGAATAGAAACCTGCCTAACAAGCCGTGTACATGTTGCACTTAAATGTGAAGGTCTGTCAACTCCATCTGCACTTTTCCCGCTTTACAACTGCCGTCAGTGTCGGGAGACAAACGTGTGACACTTCTCTATCCTCAAGAAACACTTGGCTCGTGTAACTCACATTATCATGGCTGAGCATGACTCCTTTGGGCTGGCCTGTGGTCCCCGAGGTGTAGATTAGCGTGCAGCACTGGTTGGGCTTCTGGCTGGAGACGATCGCATCGAGGGGTGCGTCGGGCTCATCGCGTCCGAGCTCCATGAACTCCGCCCACTGCAGTACACAAGCAAAATCACTTAGATGATGCTAATTTAACTAAACTAATATTTTCATGTTTGCCATGAACAGATTGTGTACTTACCGAGTACAGATTTGGTCTTTTCTCTTTAAGTGCATCTTTGTACTGGATAATGGCTTTCAAGTGCGGCAGCTTGTCTTCAATCTGTAAACAAACAAAGTATAATCCCATGAGTACATAAAGCAGACTATAGTTAATAAGAAGACTACACATCTGGCTGTAAGTATTTAAAACGATTAGAGTTATGTCATTTTAATAAATCTCTATACCGTTCTAAAAGATGCCGCCAATTCACATTTCTGTCTCTTAATTATTGATACCACTGACAATAAATGGTGGCAACAAAATGGAGAAAAATACAAATCTTCCTTTTTTCTTCTCGCCTTTTTGCTGTCCTGATCACATATAAAATAAAACAATAAAACCTGCATTCATATCTTCAATTTATAGATGTCAAGTGTTTGTATGCAACTCATTCTGATCTCACCTGAAGGATCTTCTGCAGCTGTTTGTGATTCTCCACCACAATGATATTGGCCTTGCTGTTCTCTGCTACGTACTGGCATGCCTCAGGAGAGTTGGTGGTGTAGATGCCAACAGCAAACCCACTGCAGCAGACAAAACAACAGTCAGACTTACAGCAGTTTCACTTTTACATTTACACAGAGTCAGATGAAACTCTGTCCCATGTACTTGGACACTGACTCATAGGATTGTATAATTACATTGTTAAATACTGAAATTAAATTTGATGTTTAACAGCATTTTACTGTTTTAGCTGGAAGAGGTGAAGCACGTTTTAACTACTTTATGTTTGGGTAGTTTAGTCCAGTGGTTCTGAACCCCAAAGGGTGCTTAGTTGCTTTCAACACTGCAGTTCATCAGCTTCCTTTTAAGCGTTGTGCTGTCACCTATTAATCAAAATGTCTTTCAGCTAAGAGGCTAAGGGATAACACCCGAAGGTCTGCGCTCTGGTGAACTCGCATTTCAAGTCTTGGACCACACCACTCGGGTATGGAAGACATGCACACATGAACACACGCATAAACACAGAGCTGGCAATGAAAACGTGAGTGAGCCAACACTGAGCTCATTGCTGTCAAATTCAGAGATGAAACTCACCCAGCAAAAATAGCTGCAATGTCAGAGATGAACCACTCAGCCGAGTTGAAACCCAGGATGCCGACACCGTGGTAGCGCTGCAAACCAAGCTGTGTAAAAAAAAACAATCATAAAACTATAATATTGGGATATCCTTCACATCCATTTTCAGAGTGTTTGCTGTTGTAGGGATGAGATTTTACTCCTCCGCAAGTTCAATAGAGAAATGATTCTCTCATGCATGCACTGGAATCAGTGTCTGTATTCCTGAAACATTTGGAGGCAGTTTTGAGCTGTTGAATCGACAGACTGAGCAGAGCTCAGGGTTTGTTACTATAGAAACAGATGAATGACACGGGAGACTGGAGAAGGGAACCGATACCAACACTGCAATGAGCTTTTTTAAATAACTTGTGAAGTCTTTCACAACAGTAGTTTGAACATGAGGCTTTAAATCTAAAGCTCCACTCGTGCAGATGGAAAATCACGTTGCATGTCGAAGGGTGTGCATGTGTGGAGGTTTAGGATCAGGTTAGTCGTGTATGTTTAAATGCAGACAGCCACATGCAAGTATGTCTTTATGTGTGTGTACATGACGTCCTGCTGAGTCTCCATGCTGACAAGCTGTTCAGTTTCACAAACAATGAAGTGCTCTGTGCTGAACAAACAGCTGAGGCACAATTTCACCCCGGCTTTTTTGTGATGCGTGAGGTGTTGTTTGGATTAGCTTTAAAACAATAATAATAGAAGTTGATTGTTTCAAACAAAAAGGAAATCTTAGACCTTTTGATACTGAAGGGGAATTGTTGCTCAGGGTGAATAGAAACTAAAAGGAGCACACACGTAATGAGATTACTGTGAGGAATTTCTCTAATTTAGCAACACCAACGTTTCCAGCATTGAACACCGGTCACTGTGTGATTAGTTATTTCTTTTCTCTTTATTTGTCTGGTTTTGTTCATCCAACAATCCAAAAACCCAAAGATATTCAATTAAAGATCACATTTGGCATTTGTTTTTGAAAAAGTGACTCAATTAATCAATGAATTGTTCGTATTCTTTATTACTGAGAAGGCGGAAAATATACTTAACACTTAAAAGCAGGAGATTTTGATGGTGTGTGCTGCTAAAACCCTCCCAAATATTATTGTAATAAAAATAGAAGGAATCGGAATATCTAACTATATAGATGAAAGCGTCATCTTCTGAAATGAGTGTCATTCATTATTAATTAATATATATATATAATATATAATCAATAGATAAAAGAAAGTACCTTAAGGAAACTCTTGGCAGCGGTGCGGCAGGTCTGGTAATATTCTCTGTAGTTCAGGCTCTTCTGCTGCTCGCCCTCCTTCCAGCTCAGAGCTGTATAGTCGGCAAAGCGCTCCACAGCTGAGGTGAACATCTGGTCGATGGTCAGAGGGGTCTCAGCAGCCAGGCCAGAGTCCCCCATCCTCAGCAACACCTCTGCGTCACCCTGTGACGTCCACAGGCCGAGCCCTCCTGCTGCTGGCACCGGAAGGGAGTTTGGACGCTGGGTGTTCACTGGAAGAAAATGACAGACAAAAATAAGATCGAGGTGGTTGACAACTAAACTTTGTGCTCGTTCCTCTAGTTTTCAAACATTCTGCATGTATTGTACTAGAGGAGATGCCACACACCCTCTGATACTACATTAAAATACAAACAAGCTTTTACTTCTAATTAGCTAAATGTAGTTTTCCTAGAAAGTAAATATCTCACCATCACACCAACCCGACTGGCTGTTTGGAGAAACAAACGTTCTCACATGAAACACAAAAGGTTATTTTATTTAATAAATAAATAAATAAAAACACAACATGGGGTTTCATTTTTATGTTAATTGTATGCAGCAAAGTAGCTGCGGAGAACGATTTTAAAAGATGAATCAGTTCCTCATACAGGTTGTTAAAAGCAACCAGTAAAATAAAAACTCTGTTTGCAGAACGACTTCCTGGTTCAACTTAGAGTCACCACACTGAACATAGTTGTGTGTGCACCCAGTTTCCTGTGCGGTGAGGCAACACTAGCAACATGTTCAGTGCTCTAACCTAAGATAATCAAACTGTGGGCTCGTTTTCAATTTGTCTGATCAATCTTACCGACATGTTTCTTCACCCGTTTGACCCCTTTGTGGCAATGTTGCAGTGTTCGGAGATGTCAACAATCACTTTGGTGAATACAAAATTAACATTATCGATGGCTCGTGCTACAAAAAAAATATGCAATAAAAAGATTTTCTTTGATTAGAAACACATCTTGTGTTTTTTACACTAAGAAAGAAAAGTGTACCGTTGCTAGCTGGATGTTTTCAATATGCGATGGTGTCAAATTAAACAGATGAACTAAATGTTGGTAGAACACAAACGGCTGGTTATCAGAGCTGATGAGAGGGCAGGATGTGAATGTTATAGACTGTACAGCCATAGTTCAATTCAAGGACATTTCAGCCAGTAGGGAGACTGAAAGAGTAACTGAAAATGTGATCTCAGTTTCTAATCTTATACAACCAGTATAATGACCTATTTATCAGATTAACATCAGGGTAATTATGAAGGTTCTCGTTGTGTAACAACAAATATCAGGGAAGTACTCGTGCTAGGATTTTCCGTCAGTGACCAAGGCAGGAAGGAATGTCAAAGTTCGGACTGGAAAAAGCCGGCAGGAAAAGGGAAGTCAAGTTGTTCTTCTAAAGAATGTGGAGTTCGCTCACTTTGGTTTGGCCCACTTCCTCAGGGGAAAAGTTCAGAGAAAAACCGCGTTCACTTATGCTGACTTTAGCGACTACAACCAACACAGTGACTGCATTCAACTTCGAGTATTATCCCAGTTGTCTGTATGTGTATTGCTTGTCAAAACTTTAATACGGCTGCACCGCGCTCACGACTGTTAAGAGTTCAGGAAGGGACAAAGAGAGTAAACGCATTCACATCACGTGGCTTTTCTTCAGGCCTCACCTGTTTGTGTGTTTGAGGTCTGTTCAGCAGGGACCTCTGTAGCCTTGGTGCTGCTGGCGACTTCAGCGTGTGCACCAATCTCCTCATCTCTTTCCCCTGCGGACTCTTCCTCTGAAGACTCACTGAAGAAGGTGAAAGGGAAACACATTCACTTAAAACAGAAAAGTGGATCCTTGGGGAAAATCAGAGGCAGAAGCCTGAACCGTATGGGGAAAACTTTGGCTCCCAAAAAAGTGATGAAACCACTATGATCACTAATCATACACACAATGAATCTGCACGATACCATTATGTGAATTACCACTGAGCACTGGAGCTCTAACCTGGGTGGTATTTTTGGCTGTTCAAATACAAACATTAATTCTCTTATTTGACATCGTGTGACCCCTCAGATTCATCCTCTAACCAAAGCTCTCGGGGACATTGGTGCCGCGGTGTCCTGGATATGTTTGTGTGGACGTACTTTGCTCTGTCCACGATGCAGTCATCGAGGGAGGCTGCGCTATGTCCTGCTCCGCAGGATGACTCCAGTAAGCCGCCTGCTAAGGGAGGCTCCATCACCACGGCTTCAGACATGGCGGTGGGCTCACACACGGTCACTGAGAGGAGAGAGGAGTCACAGGGCTTGTTAGCTTCTGTATACTCGACAAGGACATCTCTTACAAGCATCCACAACAAGTGAAGTGAAGGCTTTTACAGATGATGAATAAGATAACGAGATATAAGCCATGTGTGTATACGCAACATGGTATAAGAATATCCCAAAACTGTATCGGGTGCATCTGCAAAAAGGCAAAAAACTGTTTCACAAAAACACTCCCCAGAGACTGAACGAGGAGTTTGACGATAGACCTTTTTAATAATGTCCAAATCTAGGAGCAATTTATACTGAGCTCTTCCATTGGTGAGTTCATTTAGTAAAGGGCCGCAACTCAGAATTGTTTTCACTATCGATTAATTCATTGATTGTTTTCTCAATGTAAGAAAATTGTGAAAAATGTCTGTTACATTTTTTTTAAACCCTAGGTAACGTCTTTAAATGCCTTCCTTTGTCCAACCAACAGCCTAAAACGTGAACATATAAATAAAACAGTGAAAGGAAGCAAAATCCACACAATTGAGATGCTGCAACCTGAGAATGGTAGCATTTTTGCTTAGAAGTGGACTTGCATGATAATCAAAATAGTTGCTGACTAATCTTCCGTCAATTGACTTTGAGCTCAATTTAATTTATTTCTGTGTAGGATGCTTTTTATTTGATAAGAAATCTAGACGCACACTCTTTTGAGAAGATGTTTTTTGACGTCTAAAAAGAAAAAGGAATTGCTCGGTCTAATTGTGAGACAGCAACGCCAACGTGTGACAGCCGGCAGCTTCTATACTCACAAGACTCACACCTGAGTGATGTTGGCACCAGGTCACATTACTTTTTCTAGCAGTTGTAGTTGATGCTATATTTACACATGCATTCGTGTTTTGGGCTCTTGTGCAGGTTTTAGTGTACACAAGTTATTTAAACAATAATTACTCTACATATTGACGACGTATAGTTACTGCTGTACTCTGCTGAATTCAGACAGATGAAGGAAAACTGTAATCTGCACAAATATCATCCTGACATGTTGTTAACCTTTCTAGCTGACTTTATGAGCTGCTAAACAAACATCGTCTTCGTCTATACTACGACCGGATCTTTTGACAAAATGATGTTGCATGGCAACAGTGTGGGGAACATGTGGAGCGAGCTGGCAAAGTGGAAAGTCTTGCTCAGATAACATTGTCTTGCTGCAAATAATGGCTTTCATTGCTGTGCTTGGTCAACAAAACACCAACGTTTCCATTGCTCAACCCTCGAACCCAAATTTAAGGATATGAGAGCATAAAAGCCAGATTGTTTTTCTCCTGTATCAATCATCCTGTACATCCTTGACATGGTTTTAGAGCGTCTAAAAGGTGATCAGTTTCATTTCAAAAGAGCTGGAGGGATAATCCTTTTCTCCCACTGACATGACATTTCATCACGGGCAACACGTCAAAGCCACCGAAACAATAAACCATCACCACTCGTCCAACATCAAACACACACCTCCATGACGCTCCCTCTCATTCAAGCCCCTCTGTTTGGTAATTCACAGGTCTGAGCTGCTGCTGCTGCTGCTGCTGGCCTGTATATTTAAGGTGGCTGAAAACACATACCAGCGGTTTCGTCTGCCCATTGTGGCAGCAGCCTATCATGACTCGCTTGTCAAGGACAATTGGGCTCCGGAGAGTTCAGAGAGCAGGAACAAAAATATTTTCTATCACGCAGCCAACCACACCTTCAAAAAAAAACATGATAAAATGGCATTTGCCATGTGTGGACTGTTTCTAAAATAGCAGGAACACAATTACCAGCATTCCTGAAATTCTGGACTTTGAAGAATCAGCAGCAATCACCTCAAACTGCCATCACTGTTTACTAGTGATCCTACTTAATTCATACGACGAGCAGCCAGCTGACACCGAGGACACTTTGTCAATGAGTCCTACGGAAGCCTAAAGGTCTTTCAGCTAAGATGTGATCTCACTGCTGCCATTTTATTTGGCTTCTTACTTCCAATACAGCTGCAGATTCCTCAAGACACAGCTGTTAGTGGATGTGGGTTTCCAGCAGTATTAAAAGGGAGTTAAGTTTAGAGTGTAGGCAGAATGATATGGAGTGAACTGGGGTGTGGTTTGGACAGGCATCCTAAAAGCCCCCCCTTTTCTTGAAAAAGCCCTTGGGCTATTTCTTGCTTGTCCCCTTTTTAAATTCCTCTCAACACTGTCCATTTTGGTCTGACGAGGTTTCATCACATGAGCTCAGGATGTTTAGATCATGAATAAATGCTGGAGATGCGTCCCTTTAAATGATCTCTGGGGTGGCGGCCCCCTGCTTCTTACATCAATCGTTTGTCATCAAGGTTACTGAGCTGAGATGTCCAAAAATGAAACTACTGCCTTGTGTAGTAAACTATCGACTTTAGATTTGTCTTATTACCTTTCCTGCTATGGTGTAGTTTACCCATATCACCCTTGTGATCCTTTTGTGGGCTTCACCTTTACTTGAACTTGCACCCCTTTTTCCCTAAGAGACCATGGTTTTGCTTCAACTGTATTAAGTTAATGTGTAAAATTGTCAGAAAATAATGAAAAATGTATGACAAGGTGGCGTCTTCAAATGTTTGATAAACAGTGCAAAACCAAAATATATTTGATTTACAATGATATTAAACAGCAAACTTTCACATCAGAGAAGCTGGAACAAGCAAATGTTTGGCCTCAAACAATGAATTGATCATCAAAATAGTTGCTGATTAATCTTCTGTCACCCAACAAATGTATTAACTGCTCTACTGCACCTTTCAGACAGGAGGACATTTTTTATGTCCTTTCTTGCGTGGTTTAGTTAAGTTTCCTTGTCATTTGCCACCACAGTTAATGCTCAGGATGAATTATCTGATGGAATAAGCACTGCGCAAACTGACATCATTATTGCAACCGCATTCATTAAATCAGGAGAGGATTATAAATGTAGCAGATTTGTGCGCAACAGCAGCTGTTCGATTTAAAAAAGCGAAAATGCAACAGTAGGAAACTTAAACCTTTTTAAGTTGTATCACTGATTAATGTAGAAGTGTCTACTCAATAAAGAAAGCAGACAACTATCACAACCCCATCTTCAGCCAAAAACATGAATGCCAAACAAGGGGCTCTCCCCAACACAATACCACCATGCCTGCAAACTTCAGTTAGGTTAATCCCTTGTCAAACAGTTCAGACAAAACCCCAGCCCCTCCCTTCTGGTGCGTCTTTCTATTGTCATGCATCGTCTCCCCTTGTCGAAGATACCAGCCATCTCCACTTGACTATCTGAACCTAATGGTGTCGCCCAGAACACAACAGAGATGAACTGGATTTCTATCAATACCATCCTCTGAAAGATCAGCGTCCTCGGCCAGATGCTGCCTCTGAACAGTCCCCTGCAGTGGTTTACCGCTGGGTGTAATCATAAACGTCCTCAATACACAGCTACCACTTCAAGCTTAACATTTTTTGTCCAGTTTCAAAAATGTGTAAACCAATGCAGACATTTATAAAGAGAAGAAGGGGAAAGGCTTCAAAGGCATCCCTTTAACATTAGTTGTCATCTGGCAAAATATGTGCTGGTTGGGTTACACCCTTTTACAAGCGAGCAGATGTCCACATGTTGTAAAGAGCCACACATTTCACCTCTATTGAAATTCACAGATTACATATTATGTATTGTATGACGTCTGAGCTAAAATCAGGATATAAATGAACTCTTTAATTAAAACGGTAGAGGGAGTGGTTAAGAATTATAACAAGGGAAATCAGACGTGGCATAAAACCTGAGCATGGAGGGGATATTAATCCATACAGCATCCTTAGTATCAGACATGAAACATACGTACATATAAGCAAGCTGTTTTCTCAGGCATCATTACCAACCTGTTTCTGACCAAACCTGATCTGTCTGAGTGAGAGCTTGAGTTCAAGTTAAGAGGACTACATCTCAAATACATGAAATAAAACATTTAAATTGAGCTACTCACATTGCATTGCTTGAAAATATTATGTTTCCCCGGTTTGTATTTCAGGTTCTCTCTGAAATCGTCCACTTTCCCTTATCTGCAAATACTGTTTGCCGGTTAACACACAATAACCCAACAGCCCACCGCTTCTACAACTTGAGCAGCATATCATTCATTTTCAAACAGCAGCCGGCTGAGTTGGTCCCACCCCCTAAAAACCCCACCCAGACCAGGCCAGCCTGCTTCCTCCAGAAACACTCCTCCCTACGCCATCATCCAAAACCAACCTGATTGGTTAAAACTGCTCACACCACACGATCCATTTTCCATATAAGGCCACGCAAGCCAAATGAATAAGGTGGGGGAAGCAGCTCACAGACACACACACACACACTCAAAACACACGTTGCAGCTATGCTGGGTTACTATCGGACAAACCAGAATACAAGTGCAGCTGTACTGGTTTGACTTCATGACTTTCCACTGACTGAAATCATTCTTATGCACAATACCAACATGCACCAACCTGTGATCCACATTCATAAAAATGACATATTTATTTTCCTTCTTCTTCCAATCTTCCTTCATTTTAAACAAATCTAAATAATTATTTTCATTCTAAAATCATTTGCAAATTATTGTCTTGTCTTGTCAACTAATCACTTTGTCTGCAAAATATGAAGAAGTTGTGTTAGTTGCAAATTAATCAACTAATTGTTTCAACGTTACAATTTCCCCTAAACCTTCAAAATAGCATAATACATTACCAGTATTGTACTAAAGTACAAATATAATTATGCAAGTATTTCCATTTCACACCACTTTAAACTTCTATTTCCATTCCAAAGGGAATACTTTTTCCTCCACTGTAACTATTTCACAGCTATAGTTAATATACTTTACAAACTTCACCTATGATGACCTCGTAGAATATGAGGCACTGCTATAGATTCAATTACCCAGCTAGCTGCATACAAAATTGGAGCTGAAACGATTAATCAATTGATCGACAGAATATTAATCAGCTATCAACTATTTGAAAAATTCGAAAAGTCGATTCTCAAGCAAAAATGTCAAAGTACATTTAAAATGTGAGGATTTGCTTCTTGTGCTTGTCCTAAATTAAACTAAACTGAATAGTTTGGAGGTATGTCTCATATAAAATAGCTTAAATGAGCTCAACCAACCAACAGCATTCATGCATCAGCGATGATAATCACAGGGACCATTTTAGTGTATTGAGTGTTTTAAATGCATTTGTTTTGCTTATTATACTTCTGTATTAGAGTGTGTTATTGTAACTTAGTAAAGCTTCTAATCAAAATATAAACCTTGCTTACTGCATCGCAGCAGTAATCAATATATACCTGAACTATTGAGAAAATAAACTTTTTCTTATAAACTGAATGTATCAACATTGTGACAATAGCACTCGTAACATTGTTTGCAAACTTAAATTTAGCCCTCTGGCTGAAAATCAAGGCTCAGCCCAAGTAAGCAGCATGACAAGCCAATCCTGTACTTCTGGTTCTTCTGAGCCATGACCAGATATACAAGATGCTACAACAAAGACAGCCGCTCTGGAGAGGAAACAACTGCAGGAAGAGGAACAAAACTTAAATAAATTACCATAGCAAATATTTGCTATTGGCAATCACTATACTTCCACAACTATACAAATAAAGGTGTGGCAGCATGACCCCTTGTACAGGTGCCGGTCTCTGTGAGGGAAGTGGGATTCACAGCTATAAAGGCTTTTCATTTTTACATGCGTAAAGATAACCAGTCTAACTGGTTGATGAAACTAAAAGGAATTTCCTTTACACAATTTCCCCTGAACTCTAGAGTTCACTAGGTCAAGTAGAGGAGGCAGAAAGCACATTTCCTCCTCAAACTGATTAGAATATGTGATTAAATTAGCCCTGACCCTTTGAAATGTGAAAGCTGACTCTTAACATTTAAGCATCATACCTGTATGTAATAAAATACGATACATATATATCTATATATAATTCCTTTAGTGCTATAAACTTTGTTCTATTTTATTTTACTCTAATTTAAACATGTGTTGATTATCTAACTAAATATTTGATGTGTTTGTGGCATGGAGTGGGCTACAGCTGAATGTATTTGTGCAGTATTGTATGACAGTAAAGCTGACCTTAAAACTTTGAGAAAAACACATTCACACACACTTTGCATTGGTGTGTCTGTATCTGCACATGACATCAATTGAAGCAGGTGTTAATAGTTGATGATTATCTTCTCATTTATTTCATGTGGCTTACTTTTTAAGATCAGTCTTAAAATATCTCACGTGTGTAGATGCTCACATCACTACACTGTAGAAAGATCGGTCTCAGCCAATTGCCACGAGAGACGAAAATGCAGATCCACCACACCACAGCATCACATGACATCCAGAGGCCGGCTGATCCAGTGTACTCATGCGCAAACGCTGAAATGCTGCAGGATGGGTTTAGTGCTGATGCACCCTGCACCGAGGTTATAGTCGGTCAGTGACATCCTCTCTCTCGTCCCACGCTCTGCTGAGGCAGTGCTGTAAACTGACTTTTTTTTTCTGTTTGATCAAATATCAAACTCCAGGGATAAAACATTAAACATTTACAGTCATTATCACTAAATTGACATTATGTTAAAAAGAGGTTTATTGAGCTACTGGAGGGATTTCTCATCAGTCTCATCTACAAAGACAAAACTGTCCATGTGTTCATGATAATGTTTACATGTTTGTTATGTTTGTGATTTTACTGGAGAAATACCACAGTTTTAAGATCGATTATACGGCTTAGATATCCTAGCACTAAAGTAAAGTGACAAGGAAACGACATGGGATTTGCAGTGGTGGAAGAAGTATTCAGATCGTCTATTTAAGTACAACATTATTTACAATAAAATTTACTCAAGGGCCTAAAGGGTGTAAAGTTAAATGTTTGACTGGCCACATGCTCCAAGCAAATAAGGGGCAGCATTTCACTTCTACTACTGGCTCCATACCTTTACAGTCATCAAAATAACACTGCTATCTTATAATCTTTGCGTGTGGTGTGTAGTCGGCCTATAGTTTACGTTAGCTATCTTTGTGTTCACTGTACGGTCCATGCATTTTTTAATAGTTTGTATATTGGATTAAATCCAAATTGGCAGAAATGAGAAAACGACTCTATTTTTGTGTCATTCTCCCGCCACCAGGAGACTACTTCGCCGGGAGGAGAGCTGTCTGTGTACGTTTTGATAGCGAAAAATACAGAAACACTGTATTTTTGTTTTTTGTTTCAATGATAAAACAAACTATTAAACGTACACAGACCTCACCGCGTCAGCAGTGGGTCTAACCTGTGCAGCGGCTGCAACAGAATTTCTCTAATCCGGCAGGGAGTGAGGAAATTCCCGCGGGATGATGCCCCCCACGATGGGGTTTGAACTGCCGTAATTCAGGTTGCTATACAGAGGCTAACTGGCTAACTGAACTGTCCTGACTCCCCGTCTAATATTGTACCTTTTTAAATAAATAAATTGCTGTTGATCCTAAGATAGTTTTAAATAAAGTTTAGATACATACATTTTAAAATAATATAAATCTATATACTAATTAATAAAAACAGTAGTCCTCAAAACAAAAACAAAAAAACAGACTTAATAAACTTTCTATTGTTACCTGGACAGTCAAATGTCCAGGTAACAAGGAATAAATAATAAAAGCATTGCTAGCCTCCAAAAAACGACCTCTCCCAGCAGGCTTTGGCATTGCAATAATGGCTAAGACTCATGGGACTTGTTGTGTAGAGTGCTAGTAATAGTCAAATGAGGTGTTCAAATTCAACCATCCAGTACAGTGTTACAAACCCATTTTGGTTAGATTATGGACAGAATACATCAGTATTGTTTCAAATTTAAAGGATTAAAGATGAAAACCAGGTGAGTTACAGATGCTAGCAGAGCAGGTGGTAGATAGTAGCCAAGGGGTGGGACTTAATCTGTATACCTGCCATTGGCGCTGCAACTTGATGGAAATAGGAAAATTGCCTAAATTATAGATAAAGAACGTAAGGCTAAAGTACTAATGTACCCTCATTAGCCGTGTAACGTTGCTCGTTAACATGCTGTCCTTCATCTCCCCTGTGATGGTTTGTTGCGACACGTTTCATTCAAGTTAAGCGGCTTTGCGGTGTGGTGCAACTTGAATTTATCTTACAGTAACAAAACACACACTAATGAAGTTAATTTTTACTCCCACGTACAAATAATCCTTCAACAGTCAAAGTCAATAGTACATGGCTTGATGCTGATGTTGAAATCTGCGCGATAAGTGATAAGATTAACCAATAAATGGCACGACTTACCACGAGCAGACGCTTCTCAGTGTTCCTGAATGTGAGCGCATGTGTTCAGAGCACCTTGTGAGCGCCTCTGTTCACTGCCAGAGAAGTCCAGTTTACGGTGCGATGAGCTGATTCTACATGTCACCTGTTTGAGTCAGTTTTATAGCACCAGACAACACTCTCACTTGACATTCACCCTGCTTCACGTGGAGCAGAGAATAAAGAAAAACAACATGAGCCAAAGGAAATTGAATTTCTTCAAGTCCTGTCATAAACAAGGGAAACAATACAATTTGATTGTTTGCCCCCAGGACATGTGGTCAATGGAAATGTGGAAGTGAAAAAGAGAATCTCAAAATGTTTCATACTTTATTATCTCAGAGGCAAAGATAGCAACATATCCTTAGATCCCAGTGAATAGTGTCTACAAAGCAACCACGAATGTTTAAAACAACATTATTTTTAGATATACAACATAATTTGGACATGGTCTTGGTTGTTGTTAAAAAGGCATGGGTGTTACTGAGTGTGTTTTTTAAATCTAAATGTAAACTAGACCCTGACACATTCTTGGCTTTTTGTAAAAGATGCTGCGAGACTTCAGTTCATCTAATTTGTGTATGTTGTGTAATATTTTGGACTGACATGATCAACGTTGAAGTGACTGTGGATTGTAAAGCAACATTTGTGCAGTTTGAAGTAGGAAAAGAATAGTCTGTGATATTTTTATACATTGTAAATCTGCTTTTGATATTTGCAAATTTCACATCACACACCAGCAAGCTCTCACACCAAAACCCAAACTTCAGTGTATTCAATGTCACTTGTGGTATATATCTGGAATAACTGGAATCATAGTCAGAATTGAAAGGCCATTAAACTGTATGTGTTTGTTTCATGTCCACTTCCTGTAAATTCATATAGTTGATTTTGTGTTGCACAAGTACGGGGACTAAGAAGCAGATTTAGAAAT